AAGAATTTAACTATACTGAATAACACTGGATTTTTAAATCAAATTATATGCATAAAGTTACAAATATGAAGTCAACGGTTTTAACTTTAAAGTCAACATCATGAAATTTCAACTCTTTATCAATGGAGACAGAGACCCTACAAGTCAACAATTTGTTCTTTAGTAGTGCGTTCCAAAAGATTACACATCACAATCACTTGACAATGAACAGAAACATTGTTAGTGATTTTAGTCTTTCATGTTTTAACTGTATCTTCTAAGACTTGTAATTATAAAACAAGACTAAGAAGAAGAGTGAGTGGCAAAAGGCTAAAAATCTCTGAGAAAAATGGTGAAACCATGTCTTCTCTCATGTTTCCTCATCTTCTTCGTCTTCATCATTCCTCAAATATCTTTATCTTGCCCACAAGACCAAAGACAATCCCTTCTCGACTTCAAGAACTTGTTGTCTCAAAACATCAAGAACCAATCCACAGCAGAAACCACCTTGGGAGGTTTAAAGACATGGAAGCTAAACTCAGATTGCTGCAAATGGCAACTCGTGAGATGCAACGCTCTCTCGCCTTCCAGAGAACTAATAGACCTGAATCTAAACTCTCTTGTCCTCTCTGGCTCAGTGAGTTCAAGCCTTCTGAGACCGCTCCTGCGTATAAGTTCCCTTGTAACGCTCGATGTCTCCTCTAATTTCATACAAGGAGAAATACCTGGAGATGCGTTTGTGAACTTGACAAGGATTACATCTCTTGACATGAGTGGTAACAACTTCAACGGCTCTATTCCTCCTGAATTGTTCTCCTTAAAGACTCTTGAGCGCTTAGTCTTAAGCCAGAATGTTATTGGTGGTACGTTGAGTGGTGATATCAAAGAGCTCAAGAATCTGCAGGAACTGATCTTGGATGAGAATATCATTGAAGGAGAGGTTCCTCCAGAGATAGGTACGTTGTGAATTAACCTCAAAATTTAAACTTTATATTCATGTCTGAAGATCATAGATAGTAGTTGTAGATGTAACTGATTTTATGTTATTGTTGTGTGTGTGTGTTACAAGGTAGTCTTACTGAACTGAGGAAGCTGTCATTGAGGCAGAATATGTTCTCTGGTTCTATACCGTTGTCCGTATTACAGTTAACAAAGCTGGAAACGTTTGATCTTCAGAACAATTCCATGTCCTTTGAGATTCCAGATGGTATTGGGAGTTTGGTCAATCTATCAACTCTGTCCTTGAGTAGGAACAATTTGTCTGGTGGTATTCCATCGTCGATTCGGAATCTGACAAATCTTGAAACACTTCAGATTGAGAACGATGGCTTGACAGGTGAAGTTCCCACATGGCTGTTTGGTCTTGAGAAGCTGAAGATACTGCGGCTCGGAGGAAACAAACTCCAATGGAACAAGAATGGATCTGTTTTTGCAAAGTCTAAGTTGACACATCTGTCACTTAGATCTTGTGGCTTAGAAGGGACCATACCGGATTGGCTCAAGAATCAAACAGCTCTTCTCTTCCTGGATTTGAGCATGAACAGACTCCAAGGAAGTTTCCCCAAATGGTTAGCTGATATGGAAATCGGAATCATAATCTTGTCAGACAACAGACTCTCAGGTTCTTTGCCTCCTAGTTTGTTTCAGTCTCAGAGCTTATCGGTTCTTGCACTATCAAGAAACAACTTCTCTGGTCAGATCCCTGATACGATAGGCGAAACATCGGCAATGATACTGATGCTGTCTGAAAACAACTTTTCAGGACCAGTACCAAAGTCTATTGCAGAGATCTACAGGCTGCTGTTACTAGACTTGTCAAAGAACAGATTATCAGGTGAATTCCCGAGATTCAACGTCGTTTCATTGCTTCAGTTTCTCGATATATCTTCGAACGAGTTCTCTGGGAATGTTCCAACTTCTTTTGGAGAAAGCACTCTAATGCTCTCAATGAGTCAGAACAATTTCAGTGGCGAATTCCCTCAAGACTTCACAAATCTCCCATTTCTGATGCATCTTGACCTTCATGACAACAAAATCTCCGGTAATTTCCCGAGTTTTATCTCGCATTTATCTCCATCTCTAGAGGTGCTTAGCTTGAGAAACAATTCCCTCAAAGGTTCAATCCCTGAAGGCATATCAAATCTCACAAGTCTCAAGGTTTTGGATCTCTCTGAGAACAATCTTGATGGATCTATCCCTTCATCTCTTGGGAATCTCACAAGCATGATTGAAACTCCCGCGAGCTCTTCCTCGGTTCTTTCTTTCGCGTTCAGCTTCAACATGGAGATACAAGACTTAGCAGTGAACTGGAAGAATTCAAAACAAGGTCTTTCCAACAGAAACCTCTGCCTCTACACTCTCTTAGATCTCTCCAAGAACAAGCTACTCGGTGAAATCCCAACTTCTTTAGGCAATCTCAAAAGCTTAAAGCTTTTAAACCTCTCTTACAACGAAATCTCTGGATTGATCCCACAGAGTTTTGGAGATCTTGAGAAGCTAGAGATCTTAGACCTTTCGTACAACAACATCTCTGGCGAAATCCCGCAGACGTTCGCCAAGCTTAGTGAGCTGAATACTTTGGATTTGAGCAACAACAAGCTTACAGGTAGAATTCCTGAGAGTCCTCAGTTAGACAGATTGAATGATCCAAAGATTTACGCGAACAACAACAAACTCTGTGGAATGCAAATCCAAGTACCATGCTCTACACCGACCGAGCAACC